GCATTTATCACTAAAATGGAATTATTTGAACCTGAAATATTCCTCTTCTCTTCTTGATTTTAAAAAGAAATCTTGGGTTTATCTTTATCTACTACCTTTCAAAACAAGCATTCTCTCAATACCTCCCCAGCTCCAACTACTTGCTTGTAATCATGGGTCTCACAGTCTTGGATAGTTAATAAGATAAAAAGAAAAAAATATTCTAAAATAGCTTCTTCAAACTGTTTTTAAAATCTACTTCTAGGTCCATCTAGGCAGAATTAAGCTGTTTTCCCCTTATGTTGCCAATTTTTACATTTCAGTTAAAGGTGTACTTTGTGGCAGGAAACATGTCCGACACAGTTTGTATTCTTGCGAGGCCTAGCACTCAGAACAGATTCCCATATGTTTACTGTACTGAACTGAAAGTCATACTGTGGGAAATCAGAATGTTAGTATAGAATGAAAACAGAATATTAGTGTGTATTTAGTGTTGTTCTTTTTAGTTGCCGTGAGACCATTCTGATTCATGGTGACCCCATGTGTACAGAGTAGAATAGCTTTATAGTATTTTCAAGGCTGTGTTTTTAGGAAGCAGATTGCCAGGCCTGTATTCTGAGGCACCTGTGGGTGGATTTAACCACCAAACTTTAGGCTAGTAGTCAAGCTCTTAACCATTTGCAATTCTCAGGACCAGCATGTATCTAAAGGCACCCAGAATAAGCTTACAGAACTTCCCTGATGACTGTGTGCTTGTGTCCCAGGACATAAACTGTGAAAAATATCACTTGTCCTTTATCTACCAATTGCATCCCATTAAACATACATAATCTATAATTTCTTGTACATAATCCCACAATTTACATAGAGCCTTATCTTTCACTGAAGGTTAACTCTTTGTGTTTACTTCTCATGATGCCTATCTACATCACTGTAGTTATAATCCTGGAATATAACTTCCTAAAATGCAAAGAAGGAGCTCTGGTAGCATAGTGCCTAAGGCACTTGACTGCTAATCAGAAGGCTGGCAGTTCAAACCCACCAGCCACTGCTCAAAAGGAAGGTTGGGCAATCTACTTCCATAGGGATACTGCCTTGGAAACCCAAGGAGGGGTCTCTATGAGTCAGGTCTGTCTCAATGGCACATAGCAACAACAACAAAATACAAAGAATCCTTTACACTACCACATTTAACACAATCCTAGTTTATGGTATTAGGTACACATAGTAAATAATTATTTTGTTGATAATAATCAAACATCCCAATAAGAACCTTTCCCATGAGGGTCATAATAGAATTTGTTAGAATTTTAAAAATTCCACACACAAGAAGACATGACTTTTGTTTTCCATTGAACTAGATAATTTTTGTTTATAAGATTGTTTCCAAAATTTAAAGAAACACTGGGGTGGGAAGGCCTTTGCAATTTCTCAGGGATGCTAAGTTTAGTATAGCAAGTTTCTGTCCTCACCAGCTCTTCATCAGAATTTATACTTTTTAATCTTTTTCTAAAAGCCACATTATATCATGTTTGTTAGAAAAATTGGCTTATCATTACACTGATCATTATTATTGTCAATTTAACATGAGACTAAGGGCCTAAAAGACAGATTGGAGGGGTGTTTATGTTCTCTGTAGACATATAACAATCATCTCATGAACACCTGCAATTTATCCCCTAATATAAAGAGATTAGATGGTTCCTTATCAGACTTGTTGAATCCACAGCCATCAACAGTGTGGGGCAGGGATGTAAATCAGAGGAGCAAATAGATTTTGACATTTAAAAAGAGAATGCACAGTAGGAATTTAATTACCACATTTGCTAATACATGTTCCCTTTGAAAGGAAAAGTCTTTCATAAAATTCTGTATCTTGGTATATTCATGGTGACAGCATGGTTTGAAGTTCTAGTACGAGTTTAGGAGTCACCCTCTCACTGTGTGACCTTCCCTGAACTCTCTCTGACCTTCATTTGTCCTAAAAGTCTCAGCAGTTATTCTAAAGATAAAGCTTATACAGTCATCATAGTTTCTTTGAAGAAAAGTACTAGATACAAGAAGCCATATTAGTTATCTAATCATTGACACTAAGTGAAATACCATTCATCAACCAACCAATCATTCAGCATGAATTTAATGAGCATCAATTTAACATAAGGACAATGACTAAGACTATGGGGAAAGCAATGGGAGAGAAACAAATCCTTTTAATTATTTATCAAGTGGTTATTGAGTACCTGTTGTGTTCCAAGCAGTATGCTAGGTACTAGGGATTTGTGAAGTGAATGATGTAAGCTTTTAGCCTGGAGAAGCTCAGTGTCATACAAAACACACAAAAGGCTGACTGAGGGCTTTACATTTGCTTGGGAAAACAGATTACACACCCAAGAGATAAGAACAAAACAGATCAATTTACAAGCTAACAGTTGCCGTGGACTTGATTCCCACTCATGGCAACTTCTACTTACTTGTGTCAGGTAGAACTGTGCTCCATGGAGGTTTAAATGGCTGATTTTTTTTTAGAAGTAGATCACTAAGCATTTCTTCCTAGGTGTATCTGGGTAGACTTGAGTCTCCAGCCTTTTGGTTAGCAGTTAACAGTTCAACTTACTTGCCCATATAAACCTCTACAGTAGAGTTCTATTGAGTTGATTCCCATTGATAGTGAATTTGCAATAATTACGATAGTAAATTTTTGCTTTATTAGTGAAAAATATCGAAGATGTAAGCTATGTATAAATTGTGTATTTGTATTACCTTAACATTTAGTATAGCAGGTTTCTGCCTTCCTGATCTCATCTCCGCAATAATTTGTGATCTCATCTCCATAATAATTTGCAATAATTACGATAGTAAATTTTTGCTTTATTAGTGGAAAATATCGAAGATGTAAGCTATGTATAAATTGTGTATTTGTATTACCTTAACATTTAGTATAGCAGGTTTCTGCCTTCCTGATCTCATCTCCGCTTTTTAATTTTTTTCTAAAAGCCACATTGTATCATGTCTGTTGAGAGTAATTGACTTATACTAATGATAGACAAGGAACTCTGGTAGCATAGTGCCTAAGGCACTTGACTGCTAACCAGAAGGCTGGCGGTTCAAACCCACCAGCCACTCCTCAGAAGGAAGGTTGGGCAATCCTGCTTCCATAGTGATACTGCCTCGGAAACCCAAGAAGGGATCACTATGAGTAGGGGCCGACTCCACGGCACATAACAACAACAACAACGATAGACATAATGCCTAGGAAACCTTAATCATAATGAAAACCAAAACCTATAAGGGGAAAAAAAAAATGTACTTGTGACAGATGACAATGAGACATTGTAGATTTCAGAATAGTTTGAAGAAGTTATTTACATTTTTTTCCCCTTCCTACGGACTACCTAAAACGCATCTGTATTACCATCCAGTCAGCTCCAATTTATGGTAACCTTATGTAAAGCAGAATGAAACACTGCCCAGTCTTGCATTATCTTCATAATCATAAAAAAGCACATCCAGGGTGAAAAATTATCAGTAGGTTGTATTTTAAGGCCTATTTGCAAGTTATCCTGGATTTGGCACATCTCCAGAGAAATGTCTATATGTATAGTTTCCAAGTCAGTTCATAATATATAGATAACTTATATGAACAATTAATCATGTAAATACATTATTTTAAAAACTTTATCAGCTGCTACATTCATAGAGATCCATGAGTTCTATAAGGATTTTTAAATATTATGTTTTGATTTTTATGATAATTGGAAAAATTAATATAATTGTATTCTACCAAAACTCACTGTCGTCGAGTAGGATCTGACTCATAGCAACCTCCTTGGGTTTCCAAGACAGTATAACTACAGATGTAGGCTGCCCTATCTTTCCCAGATCATCTAAATGATCTAAATGTTCACCTTATTTTAAGTTGTTGTTGTTGTTGTTATGTGCCGTCGAGTCGGCCCCGACTCATAGCGACCCCTCCTTGGGTTTCCGAGGCAGTATCACTACGGAAGTAGGATTGCCCAACCTTCCTTCCGAGGAGTGGCTGGTGGGTTTGAACCGCCAGCCGTCTGGTTAGCAGGCAAGTGTCTTAGCCACTATGCTACCAGAAATAATGGGAGAATTCATTCATCACACAGCACATAGTAAGCAACTCAACAGAAGTTACAGCATAGCAGCCATATCACATTTGCTTTGCGATAGGATAGAGCCATCCTTGTATAAACAAATATAAAAGAGTTAACCAGCTACAATATAGAAGTGAAGATTCAATGAAATCTCTTTCTTATTTTACAATTTAACAAATATTAGTGTTATGTGCTTAAGTCCATTGGTAAACTGGTTGTCCTTTTAAAATGGTAGATCAATACTTACTTTTTTCTCTACACATTGCTTTTAAAATTTGAAAATGTCTCATAAAAACCCAGATTTCTAGCGGATTTTCTTTTCTAATTTAGAAAATACGACAATGATGAGCCTGTGGTAATAAGGGACTAGAATTGAAACATGGCTGTTTCTTATACAGGTCCTGCTTCTCGTTTGTACATTTTCAACCTATATTTTATAAGCATTGGAGTTTGTGTTTCTTGATCTAAAGCAATGGGCTATATATCCCACATACCTCCCATGTCCGTGGTAAGGGCTCTGGGAAGAGAGGCCTATCTCTCTGCATATGTTGTTTGTGAAACAAATATTTGTGAGTAGGGGCTTCTGAGGGTTGCAGCTCCTTTCTAGTGTACTACCACATCCTGTTCTCTCCGTAATGATGGCTTGAAATCTACTTTGAAATAGAAACTAACCTTTAGAAGCCAATTTCTAAATTAATTGACTGCATTCATCCACTCTGAGGCTTGCTGAGTTAGAAGAAATCTTAATGTCTTCTCCTTGCTGCCCAACCTTTCCTCAACCTCCCACATACTGCCTGCCTCTTATCCAGGATGCCGCCTTCCTTGTTATTACTCGTTATTCATTTTTACTTCATTAATATTTAAAGATCATTGCAGTTTTTCACTGAAAAGGGCAACACTTACCACCAACCATGCAAAGGTGAATGAAGATGAAATTTCTGAGGAGATGTTTTGAAAGCATGGTATTTCCAGAGTCTGATTTATCTCTATTTCTATTGTATGACTGCTTCTCCATTCATCCTGTGTAACTGTAACAAAATATAAGGTGGAAAAGACATGGAACTTCAATTGGTTTATAAAGTGCTTTTCAATCAAGAAATGAGAATGGTTTTAGTATACAGGCTCATCTATCCTCAGCACACACCTGTGAAGTGAACAGGCAAAACCCTACTATAGACCTCATTTTTAGGTAGCAAAACTGAGCCACTGAAAAGCACAGAGTTGCTTATCATGGAAATATTACAGGGAAACTGCTCTATCAGAATGCAGCTGGTCATTTGGCATGTTCCTCTGCTTTAACCCCAGATTAGAGCTTTAGTCTTCAGGTTACATTTCCTCTGTCAGATAGAAGAATATAAAACTTTATCCCCTAGCCTCTACATTTCTTTTTATTGCTTGGAAACATTCCTGTAAAGAAGGAGTGATATGGAAAAATATACAAGCAAACTCTGAAGAAGCATTATTAACAAATTATTTACATTTTTAAGGTAATATGAGGCAAATACCTCCTCTTTTGGGAAAACTGTATGCATATGCATAGACACTTGAAAATAAACTGTAATAACATCAAAAGGCAATTTGTAAGTGGAAATTAACTCAACTATCCTAATATTTTGAAGATCTGGATTTTTTCTTAATACAAATCTTATATGTAAGCAAGTATACTTTCTCATACTTTGCAATTCTATTTTACCAATGATACTTATATTTTTATTTAAGTTTTTTGCATGATTTTTGAACTATTCATGATCAATTTTTAAAGGCTTTATGTTATTCTATCATATAAACTCTTTATGGTTTTAATCATTTCTAATTATTGAATCCGTATGCTCTTTTAATTTGAGTTTTTATTTTATTTTAAAATATTACCTGCTAAGTGGCAAGAATAATCCTTTTAGCAATAGATTTCTACTGACCATTTAGCTACATGAGATAAATTTCCAGAAGTAGAATTAATGAGTTAAAGAGTTGGAATGTTCTCATTGCTACTAAGAGTATAATTAGAAAAAAATTAAAGAATATTTTTCAGTTTAGGAATGTGATATGTAATCTTAGGTCACTGTTATATTTTAACTTCTCAGATGTATCAGATTATCTTCATCCTGAAAACTCCTTCCTCCTCCTTTCCTTAATTTAAACCAGGCTTGTGTAGGTTACCTCTTCCCTGTGGCATTTCAAATGATGGTGTTTACTCTCTTGCACCTTTAATTTCTCAAGGCCAGGAAACAGGATTGGTTCCTTGCTTGCTCTGCATCATTACTTACCGACAATTACTCTAACCACATATTAAAAATAAACAAAACAGAACAAAACTGTTCTTTATAGTTAAAAACATTTAGCTATAATAGTATTTCCAAATGGAGTGATTTGTATACCACCAGAGGGAAGACTGGGCAATCTACTTCCGTAGAGATACTGCCTGGGAAACCCAAGGAAGGGTCACTCTGAGTCATAATTGACTAGATGGCAGTGAGTTTGATTTTTTTTTTTGGGGGGGGGTTTATACCAAAAGTACTACTATTTAACTTTATTTTTGAAATTATTGCACATTTTATCTAGTTTTTTTTAATAGAAACTGATCTAAGCATGATTATCTGTGAAGTCCATGAAATCAGCTTGATGTTATATGTTAATACATATTACCCAACTACATAACTATTACATTTTTGAAAAGTTTTTCTGGATTCTGGGAAGTTGGCAGTAGAAGTAGCATAACAGAAATGAGGCAATTGGTAACTGAACACCCTATAAAAAAAGGACAGATGACCTGGAGTAGCAGAACTGAAAACATGTAGACATAATATAGAAGAAAATGACATAACACTATACCTCCACTGACAGGTAGGAACAAACCACTAGACCATTGTGGTAGCAAAAACTGTCAGAAAGAAACAAGAAAATCAAGTGGGCTTCTAGTAACCCTTGGAAGCAAAGAACCCAAGAACACCACAAGCAATAACTGGAAAACCAGGAAGGCTAATTTGACAAAAAGCAGCAGAAGTGGGGGAGGGGCTTGCAGGCACCAAATCAGCAGTGCAGTCAAAGCAAATTAGAAAAATTTGTCTTTTCTGGAAAAGAAAAGGCTTTTTAGGATAGACTCTACACTGAAGAGAAATCCCAGGAAAAGGATCAAAACTGAGTAGAACTAGTCCCATAGGAGAAAGCAAGACAATAATTCAGATAAAAATGAAGGATAGGAGCAAAGGAACCAAACCTCAGAAATTATAAGGACATATTATTTATAGTGTAAATAACAGAAGAGAGTGCTCTAGGGACATTGAAAAGCACTAGAAAAGCTCATTTACCCACATTTCCATGGTCAAAAGAAAAAGAAAAATGAATTAAACTTAAGTATAAGCAATAAACCAAAATCAAAATCAAACCCATTGCCATTGAGTCAATTCTGATTCACAGCTACCCTATAGGACAGGCTAGCACTACTCCCAAATGATTTCTAAGGCTGTAAATCTTTACAGAAGCAGACTGCCTCATTTTTCTCCCACAGAGTGGCTGGTGGTTTTGAACACTGACCTTTTGATGAGCAGCTGAATACTCTAGCCACTATGCTATCAGAGGTCCTTCAAAAACAGAAAACCAATTAGGTAGAGTGATGTACAAAGATATTAAAAGGAAAAAGGACGAGAGAGTATAATAACATCCCTGCAACAATGACAGGATAATATAAAGACATGATCACAAAATAAATAAAAACTGTAACCCAATGTTTTAAAATGAGCTAAAATAAATAACGTTATATAAGCTGTGGGATTTTAGAAAAGCATACATGAGGCAATTGGCATAAATATAAATTATGAAAGCTAAGTGACAGAACTCAGCAAATGATTAGAAATAATAAAAAAATCAGTAGAAATAAAGATCAAACTAGAGTAAAAACAAGCATAAAAATACAAAAACTAATGCATTAAGAGAAATGAAAATAGGATGGAGAAACTTTTAAAGTAAAAGAAATTAAAAATATGGATAAAAGAGAAAGTAATAAACAAAAAGCCTAAAAATATATTTAATAGGTACTTGAAAAAAAATCAAAACAATGGAATGAATAAATACTAAAAACTACAATTGAAGAAAATTTCTTGAAATAAAAGGTGACTTGATGTATTGAGTTTGACAGAATTTGGAGCAGATCAAGACAAAAGATATGACCAGGAGATAACAGTACTGCACGGCTATTTATTGACAGCCAAATGCAGGGTCAGTCCCCCCAAGAGATCTTTCAGAGGCAAGTGGGGCAGGAAGCCAGCGGAATACATCACTGTGGGTAGTTCTACAGGACATGTGATCTAATTTACTCACAAATACATTGTAAAGGAAATACAAGAGGTATAAGATAAATTTCAGATTAAGATAATTTTCCCATAATCACAATATATGGAATTTATATGAATCCTAATTGAAACAAATAAAATGTAAAAAAAGAAATTATGAAACAATCAAGAACTGACTAGTTATTTGATTATATTGAGGATTAATAAAAAATGTTAAGGTTTCTTTCAAGTGCTGAAGAGCAAAAACGTCTCCTTGAAGACTAAGGTGCACCTAACCCAAGCCATGGTATTTTCAATCGCCTCCTATGCATGTGAGAGCTGGACAATGAATAAGGAAGACCAAAGAAGAATTGATGCTTTTGAGTTGTGGTGTTGGCGAAGAATACTGAAATTACCATGGACTGCAAATAGAATGAACAAATCTGTCCTGGAAGAAGTGCAGCCAGAATGCTCCTTGGAAGTGAGAATGGCCAGACTTCATCTGATCTACTTTGGCCATGTTGTCAGAAGGGACCATTTTCTGCCAAAGGATATCATGCTTGGTAAAGTGGAGGGTCAACAAAAAAGGGGAAGGTCCTTAACAAGATGGATTGACACAGTGGCTGCAATGATGGGCTTGGGTATAGCAGGCATCATGAGGCTGGCACACGACCAGGCAGTGTTTCATTCTGTTGTACGCAGGGTCGCTATGAGTCAGATGACTTGAAAGCACCTAATAGCAACAAGGTCTGATAGTGGTATTCTGCCTGTGTGTATGCTTATAGGATTCTTATCCTTTAAGAGTCATACTAGAGTCAGTTGGATATCTTGAATTGTTTTCAGAGTGCTCTGGGAAGGGGCAGTAGATAAGGATTTACATGAAACAAGATTGGATATGAGTTGATATTTGTTAAAGGTATGTGATCACTACATAGGAATTTACTATACTATTCTATATCATGTTGTATATATTTGGAATTTTTCATAAAGTTTCTTCATGAATTGTCTAAAGTTGTCTCAGGTGCTGCTAGCTATATGTAACACTGAGAAAAAGGAAACAGGCTTTTCTATTCACCAATTCACTGCTATTATTCTCTAATCCAGGGGTTGTCAAGGTATGGTTTGTGGGCCAAATATGGTTTGCTGCATTTTATAGGAACACTGCCAGGCCTATTCATTTGCATGTTTTCTACAGTTGCTTTCATGCTACAATGGCAGAGTTGAGTAAATTTTAACAGTGACCATATGGACTACAAAGCCTAAAGTATTTATTATCTGGCACATCAGAGGAAAAGTTTGCACATCCTTGTTATAATTTCCCAATCATCCTTCATTACTCATAGGAAGACTGATATCTGGATTGCAATACTCCTCTCCAGCCTCAGACCTGCCATAAACCTGGTGATATTAATGACCATGTAGTTGACCTATCCAACACCTGGCTTCTCAGTTCTGCTCACTTTCATCTTTATACCGTTTTAGCTACGGACCCTCACAATCACATACTGGACCTTATTACCACCTATAATTGTCCCACATCCAAAATCACTAATTTAAACCACACACTCTCTGCCTACAAACATCTTTTCTACCAGTCTATGCATCTAGTCTCACCTCAAATATTCTCTAATTTTTGGGGGTCTTTTAATGAGTTGATCTCCCTACTTTCTCCCAATTCATCAGCTTTCTTTTTTCTTTGCTTCCCTCATTATCCAGCTAACACTGCATAATCCATCATTTCATTAACACTTTCGGTAATACTG